GCAGCAAACAAAGATACAAATAGATTCAACCAGGGAAATACAGTTATTTAACTTATTAACAAGTTATAAAATCACCTGTGGATCGTATTAAGGTATTCTTTATTTTACAAACAATAATTTTGAACTAAGCCTTAAACTGAGTCCTAAACATCACCTTGAAGTTCTGCACAAACAGCGATCAGTAAACATTTAAACATTTCCACCTTGCTGCCACAAGATGGCGCCCTTGCATTGTCACAACATGAACAACTTCTAGATACTGTACATCCAGATTCATACAATATATTCAAAACAGAACTCATTTTGAAACTCAGATTCTTTAAGACTCTGTGTGCATTTTCTATTTTAAACAATGTCTTTCTTTATACTCTGTAAGATGTTGTTTTTTTACTGTAACTCTTGAATAATATCACCAATATTATTGCCGTAAGTTTTATCCTTAATTTAGTGAATTTATCTTTTAAGATGTACTTCTAATATCCAAACAGAGCAATAAAATGAGTTACAATACAATATAAAAGCTATAAAACCTATTGTCACCACTTAAATGAATGCATGATTGCAAGATAAAACTTCTAATTTACTGATTCAGGTCAAGAAGTTATGTTGACACAATGTGGACAAACTAGATGAAACAAGTTAAGTTTTATAGTAGCTTAACTCAAAAATGTTTGTGCTTATTAAGTAAAGGCTAATTAAAAATACCTTTGACATTTGTTTTTAGAGTGCAGGAGAAAACTTAATATGAGCCAGTCCTATGGTCATCGGAATGAAAACAAATAGTAATTATCAGTTAAATGGTTAAATAAGCTGTCAGTTATTCAGTTATTTTATACCCTCAGTTTCAGCAGACTGTAAAGAGAGACCAAACGATACCTTCATCCAACTGTAGTCCAACATAATGTGATTAACTGTTTATGTCTCATCATTTCTTTTGACATCAGACCACCAAAACATTTCCTGTAGGAATATGAAAAGATTTATATGGTGGGAGAGTTAAATCAGTTAAATCGCGTTACAAATATGTGAAGATTCAACTCAAAAGTGAAAAATGAATTGACACACTGTATTTAAATGAAAAATAAGATGCAATATGACCTGCACAGAGCACAATCATCCTCATGCACCTTTCTCAGACACTTTACAGAGAAAGAAAATACTAACATCCTATCAAGCGTCTGCGTCTATCACAACTGATCTGTATCCAAATCTATTTCTGTACTGAGTGAATGCCCATGCCCAAGCATTATCTGTCAGCACTTATGATTTGTTTGAGTTTATCTGGATGTCACACTAGCAGCTCGCTGCAATAAATTAGAGTTTACTATACAACTTAATCATATTCTTGAGATTGACGCCTCAGCTGAAACTTTCAAAATGATCCCGGTTGTATAAATAGCACCTGCTGCTTCACTCACGCACAAATAGTGAGTGTAAGTAATCTCACTGTGTACAAATCCTTATTATAAACAGGCAGGTGCTTCTCATTTATAGTAGAACTGATGTGAGACTGTATTGCATAATGCACTCCGGTACTGGTCGATCTACACTGGTTACCCCTCAAAACTCAAAAAGTTCTTTCATGGTCTGGCTCCACCTTATAGTTCACCGTGTCCTCTGACCTCAGTGAGATCTACTGACCTCCTTCTGGCACCAAAGGTGACCGAGTCTTTGCAGTTGTGGCTTCCCACTCGCTGGAAACGCCTTCCTCTAATTATAAACAAACACAGAGTCAGTTGAGACAGCGGTTCCCAGCCTGTTTCCTCAAGGGACCCCTTTTCTATCATTTAGTAAACTGACATATTTCATATTATATTAAAAACTGTACAATGAACCCAAACAGTGAACTAAAATGAGTGATTTGGATGAATTTTGAGCAGATTATTTCCTGTTTAAGGAACTTTTTACACAATTATCTGTCGGTTTTATATATTTTTTATCACTTTGAACAATCATACAGACTTAATAGGCTTAGTTATTTTACAAATTCAGCGTCTTCTTGTCCCTTGCGCGTGTTCTATTAGACAATTAACTTAACAAATACTTTTCTTCACAGAAGTGAACCAAATACTGAGATCTAAGTTTTCTTAAAATCAAGAAGGCCCTGCAACCCTCTGTGAAGCTTTGGCGACCCCCTAGTGGGGGTCCCGACCCTCAGGTTGGGAACCCCTGCTTTAAGAAACCACTAAAAACTCACCTGTTTATCCTTTGCTCTTCATTACTGTTATTTACTATTTCATTATAATTATCATTGTCAGCCATTACCATTGTCAATCCCACTCGTTCACGCTGCTCATTAGTAACTTATCACATCCTCGCGGTGGTCTGCTCGCAGATGACACAGCAGAGACCCGCTAGAAGACGTCCACGTTGACTAAAACAGCGTGAATCACTCCTGGCAGAAGAATCGGTGCTAATGCAATTCTCCTTCATTTCCTTTCATAAGCACAAATTAGATCAGCGCCTCAGAGATGTAAAAGCTAATGTGTTCGGACTGCTGGTGATTTCCCCCTGAACTCAACCTCCAGCTCCAGCTAACTACTACATTACTCACACCACTTCCACTTCCCATTACGCCTCGTGTCATGTGCTCGTGAATGATCCGACTCCAGGAGATGACCTCATGTGTGGGTGCGAGCGAGTATGAATGCTCCTTTGAGACGTTGTGATTGTTCTAAGATTTACTTTGGTACAAGCTATGACATATTCGCTGGTCTGGCCTGCATGATGCCACACATTCTCCAGCACTTGAGGCCTTAAGAGGGTGGCTGCCTTAAGAATTGTTGACTTTATTTCATTTACGGGCTTTTTATCATCCATTTCCAAAAATAAATGCATTTTTTACTTTGTGCACATTTTGTTCTGTACTGGGAAAGTTTACAGGTACGATCACGGCCAGATTAACCTGTTATAGGGGCAAAGATTTGCTACTGGGTCCCAGTATGTGTGCAGGAATATCTCCTGGGCTCAGGTTTGCTGTGTGGTAATTTGATTGATTACAAATTAATTTAGGAATATGAAACACTGAAGTATAAAACTGAGATAATGAGGATTTTAACACAATTGACACATTAAAGGCCCATCAGAAGGGCACAAACATGGTGCTTTAGTGGTTTATATACCCCAAATACATGTTTAATTAAATTAGTAGAAGGTAAACAGTAAGACTGGGGCCAGCAGAGGTGGGAACTAACAAACTACAGATACTGTACTTAAGTAGTTTTTTCAGGTATCTGTGCTTGAGTATTTAGTTTTCTGACAACTTTTTACTTAAATTTTTTCTTATTATTCATGTTTCATCTCACCGGTTTCACATATTTTTCTCCCAATATATCTTTACATTTCTATTTAAGTCCATTTCAGAGCCTGTACTTTCTCCCTTTTACTTGAGTAAAGAAGTTCAATCTGTACTCCTCAGAATGAGTGAAGTGAAGAATGTGTGTACTTTTGTTGCCACCTCATGCTCTCAGGGGCCCCAGAGTTTCAGAGCCTCAGAACAGTTTCCTGTCTTGAACAATTGGTATTCCAGCCTTGGAGATAAAAGGTGGTTTGGAGGGTGTACGAGTGCTGGAAGCAGCAGTGCTGAGGGGGCTGCAGAACCCCCTAAAATCTGGCATAATGAAAACCATTAGTAAGTAGTAAATGTTTAAACTAAATGACTTTCTCCTGTTTCACTGCGTGTGTACACTGATATTTATGGCAGGAATGTGGTTTTACATTGTTTTTTAATTCATTTTATTCACTAAAAAGTTAAACAACTTGTGTAAAATGTTGTTAATAACTATTAAATAGACAATACATTATTTTGCCCATTCAAATTAAGTGTATTCTATAAAACAACATAATGTGACCTTTGAGAAGAAAATAGAAATTAAGAAAAACAAGTATTTTAAAATTGTAATCCTGATAAATAATCCTAATTTTTTACTAAATGTGACAGTAATCTGATTACATTTATTTTTTTCTGTAACTGCAATGGATTACAGGGTCTTATTTACTTAACTCAGTTACATGTAATCTGTTACTCCCGAGCCTGCTTCTTACTGATATTTAGTTTCTCTTGTCTTTATTTCCCTATTCGCTCCAAAAGTAACAGAAAGTGATCAAGTTACTTTAATATTGAGGTAACTGAATTAAGTTACTGACTATTCATTTTAGGTAATCGTATCGGATTACATTTTTTAAAGTACCCCTCCCAACCCTGTACCTGGATAATGAAGACGGATGACATCAGTGTAGTGATGTGACGTTTGTGTGTCTGAATCAGTGCCTGAAATGTGCCAATACTTACTTTTGTCCATGTGAGTACCCGTACTTCTTACTTACTTACTACTGCCACCTCTGGTATATTTTATTTAATTTATTTTTCTTTATTTTTATAATTCATGTATTTTGACACATCAAGGGCCCATCTGAAGGGCACAAACATGGTGCTTTAGCGGTGCATATCCTCCTTAAATACATGTTCTAATAAATTAGTAGAAAGTAAACTTTACTAGTATTTATTTTTCTAACATTTGTTTACGTTTACCACATGTTTACATGTACTTTCTGCTCCTTACAGTTCCAGAAACAGGCTCATTACTTTAGATTTAATTAGGTACATTACAGATTACTTTTAAATTAAGACACAGTAATTGAATGATCTTTATAAACACCCTGTATACAGTATGCATTACATTAATGC